CAAACGTATCATTAGACATGTGTGAAGACTAAAAATTCATTTCAGATGAAATGAACGAAAACTAAAAAAGTTTTCATTTGTTTCATCAAACAAAACACTGTTTATGCTATTTTGGATTCAGCCATTGGCGTGTTCTGGAGGCGGGGCGCATGACGTCATATAACACCGCACGTGTTGGGCGCCGCCACCTTGGTGTATATCTAGGTATTCACCAAGATGGTGGGGCCAATATCGGCGTGTGACGTCACCTGACGCCAGGCATGCTCCCTGCCTCCAAGATGGTGGCACGCATTCACAGAACACGCCGGTGGCCAACATGGCTGCCGCGCATTCGCAAACAAATTATTATGCGCCTGAATATATTTTTTGTATATTTGGACAAATAGTAATTCATTCATTTTACATGTAGTCTAGGTTTTGTGCTCCGTTTTCTATTTTTACTTTTCTAGATGCACTTACTTGAAAAAAGGGATCAGCATGACAACCTGAAAGCGGCTTCATCTGTAAGCGGTAGTCCGCATGTAAATCGTACATAGTACAATTACATGAAGTTTGGGATGAATGATTGTCGCTGGATGAAGGATAGATGCGTCTAGCGACACTCACCTATTCCAGGCAGCATGTAATCGCACAGTGTACAATTAAACGCGGACTTCCACTGACAAAATGCGGACACCGTCACCCTGTCATTTACTTCTATTGGTACAGTTGCCACATCTGAATGGGACACCTGGGATTCCTGTTGCATGAATCCATAGGTTCTTGCCACAGGAATCCCAGAGCGTCCCAGGTAATTCTTGTTGAAAATCAGGAGAACACATGCCACACACATATGAATGAAGTAAGTCAAAAGCGTTCTTACATTTACAGCCTTATGACTGCCTTATGGTTTGCGCCTCTCTCCCAAGTACTGAGATTCCAGATAAATGCCAGACTGAGAAGAACTAGCTAATCTAGATACTTGAACAATGTGAAAACCAGCAGTGCTCCTGAACAGACAAGGACAGTCTCTCTCACTATTCACAATGAAGATTAGGTCATAACTAGCAGTGATGTCCATGGACTTGGTAAATGACACACACCCCTTCTGACCAATCAGATGAGGTTAGCACACATCACAAAAGGGATGGACAATGGCCATGCCTCAAATTATTGAAGTCGTCCATGACCACGCAAACCACAGACCCCTTCCAGTCCAATCAGCTACAGCAGGGGCATTTCCCAGCCCTTTGTAATGTGTTGCTGTGGGTCAGGGAATGCTCACCACTTGGTACTAAGGAAAGTACTAACCAACTACCACATTACTAAACATTACTAAGTACTTAGGAAAGCACTAACCAAGTATCACAGTATTAAGCAGTACTAAAGGAAAGTACTAACCAAGTACCACAGTACTAACTACTCAGGAAAGTACTAACCAGGTAACATATTACAAACAGTACTAACCAACTACCACATTACTAAACATTACTGAGTACTAAGGAAAGCACTAGCCAAGTATCACAGTACTAAAACAGTACTAAGTACTAAGGAAAGTACTAACCAACTATCACATTACTAAACATTACTGAGTACTAAGGAAAGCACTAGCCAAGCATCACAGTACTAAGCACTAAGGAAAGTACAAACCAAGTATCACATTACTAAATACTAAGGAAAGCACTAGCCAGGTATCACAATACTAAACAGTACTAAGCACTAAGGAAAGTGCTAACCAAGTACCACAGTACTAAGTGCTAACCAAGTACCACAGTACTAAACGGTTCCAAGTACAAAGGAAAGTACTAATCAAGTACCGCAGTGCTAACAGTACTAAGTACTACGGAAAGTAGTAATGGTACTAAGTGCTAACCAAGTACCACAGTACTAACAATACTGAAAGTACTAACCAAACACCACAGTACTAACGGTTCTAAGTACTATGGAAAGTAGTAACCAAGCACCACAGTACTAAGGAAAAATATTAAACATGGTGCAGAATAAAAAGGACTTGGGTGACCGAACATGAGCCAATATTCCCAAGACACTGGTTGTAATCCATGATCTCAAGCACTTGCCTGTATTAAACAACCAGTGATCACATGCCGGATCGCTCAGTGATCATTGTTTGCCATTGAGGTGAGTGATCATAACATGTCCTGGCAATGAATCAGATTCGGGTATTCTGAATGAGAGATACATGCAGGTATGGTGATATGAGCTATATATATATCAGCTTTAAAGGGAATGTAATGTTTTCCTACCTACAAGGAGTTGTTTACAGTGATCAATAGGTCAGACCTGGGTGACTCAGAGTAATGTCTCACCTCTTATCACAGGACTCTGGGGTAGGAAGTCACGATGAGAGACAGTCTGCCTGAAAGCGAGCTAACACTTTAGCAGCATTATCATGTATGAAGAGGTTATTTGTAAACCAAAAAGATTGTATAAATGGTACAAACCAGATATAAAACATCACACCAAAGGCAGACCAGATCTGCATAAGTTTCTGCACACGCAGTGCAGTGTTATACCACGTGTTTTTTAGTTTAAAATGGGCTTTCCGTGCATTTGCATGCGTTTTTTATGCATTTGCATGCGTTCCAGAGCAGGTAAAATAGGGCTTGCTGCATTTTTTTTAACATGCTCTGGAACTGAACGCTGCGGTGTGAACTAGAGCCCAAAATACCATTGGAATACATTGGACGCAGTTTTGATCCGGTCTGTAACTGCTCTGCTCCTGGAACGCGCTTGGTGTGAACAAGCCCTAACAGGATTAAAATAAAATTGGCCCAAAACTAGTTTTTATTTGTAAAAGTAGTACTAAAGGCTGGGTGTTTTTACCTTAATACATTCCCCGCATTAAGGTAAAAAGACCCAGCACATCTCTAACACCCCCATCCACCCTACACTTAAATCCTCTGCCGCGACCACCGTGAAAATACTTGGGGTTCCCCAAACTTCCTGGTTGCGGGGCGAGGTGCCAAGGGCACCTATAGATTACCTGCAGATTTTCTGTGGTCAGATGGAAAAAGTGCAACAGATTCCTCCATCTACGCTAAACTGTGTGTATGGAGGAATCTCCCGCTGGGCCAAGCTTCAGTATCTTGCTAGTCGGCCCCGCTGGCTAACAAAATACCTGAACAATGCCTGCATCCAATCAGATTGTTCAGGTATTCACTCAAGACAAGTTACTTCACATAAAGACTGCCCCCCAAAAAAACAGAAGTAAAATGGAGGGTGCACTCACAAGTCAACAAGAACCTCCATCCATTTGGAAATACCTTCTGATCTTGGTGTGAACGGGCCCTAAATATATTTTTTTAATACAAGCAGTTTAACTACCTGAATCTGAATTGGACTCTTACAATCTCTGTTTAGTAGAGAGGAGACAGGGGAAAGGAAAAGAAGCACAAGGAGCCAGTCTGCTATGTCACAGTGCAGAGATCATGAGGATAGAAGGAGAGAACGGAGTGACAGAGAGGTGAGCTCATCAGTCTACTGCTTCTGCTTTTACTGTCCAAACACAAGTTGGGGGTGTGAGTAGACCTGTAAGTGAAAGTGAAACAGCAGCTGAGAAAGATCAGGTCCCCCCAACTGCCAGACAGACTACCCTGGGAGGCAGAGCCGTTTTCTTCTCAGAACTGAATGAACAAAAGTACAAAACAACTCCCATGTACAGTATGCATTTGATCAATGTCTTTAGACATTTGCCTGGTGTTCAGCTTGAATGGCACAGTGTCTTAGTAAGACAGTAAATTAATTGCTTTTTACAATCAGTGTGTTCGCATTGAAGTCAAAAAGACCAATTTTCGAGGTAACTTTCGAGGTAACATAAGAAGTGCTCCGGACCATGAATACACAATTAAAAGGAACTTCTACCTAAAGATCATATATTGATTTTAGTGCCTTCAGTAATTCCTACACTGGAGCTGTGCCGGGAAATAAACTATACATGAAAACCTCACCAAACTCCTAGCTCAGTTCAGGATTTTGGGGACTATTGATAACAGACCATATACAAAAATCAATATTTATGATGGAAACAAAAAACTGATGATGAATTGTTCAGTATTATTGTAAATAATGGTTACAATTAGCGATGCACCGATACCGTTTTTTCTGTAGCGCGGTTGAGTACCGATATTTATACTGTATTTATTTCGGTAGTCGCCGACACAGGGTACCCAAACTGGTACTTGTGGTAGCATGGAGCCGGCTTCCCGGGCAATCAGAAAGCCAAGCAGCTTGTCATTAGCCGCTGCCCAGCTTTTTGATTGCCCGAGAAGCCGGCTCGATGCTGACTGGCTGGGATGCCAGCTTCCCGGCCAATCAGAAATCTGGGAGGCGGGTCATTACCCACTGCCTGACTTTCTGATTGGCCGGGTAGCCGGCTCCATGTTCCCTCGAAGCACTGCCGTCAGAGAAACTCTGCCTCTGACTGGAAGTTCCGGTATTGGGGGTAAGTATCGGCGCATGCTCGGAATCGCTGCATCCCTTGTTACAATGTAACAAAATGTTCTCATCTATTCACTTGTTTTTTCTCATGTTCCAATGTATCTCTAATGAATCCTCCTTTTAGTCCTGGATCTACCCATCCATAAATGCTAATAGGTTAACGTCATCCTACACTTCACAGGGGAGGTCACCTCCCTTACATACCTGGACAAGAACTGAAGAGGAAGTTGTAGGTTATTGTTCAGCGTTTTGAGTTGTTGTTCATCACAGCACACGCTGACATTGCCATAGTACAGGGATGGGCACAGTTGCTGCATAAAATAAAAACAAACGGGTCATGGTGGCAGGGTGATTGAACTATGGCAGCTGGAGACAAAGGGCAGAAAGTCTACAATAACTTTACATATAAACCACCTTACACTATGAGATCTCCACAAGCATGGAAGAAGCTTCACACTGGCCACTAATATAAACTCAGCTCACTACTCCGTGCACTATGAGCCTGATCACATGATTGCAAAGGATAAAATATTAACAATCGCTTACAAAGCCATCCACAACTCCGACCCTGGCTATATCTCAAACCTGGTCTCAAAGTATCACTCTAACCGTCCCCTCTGCTCATACCAAGACCTCCTGCTTTCCAGCTGGTTATGCATCGTCATCGCATCAATAAATGTCACAACATTTATTTCCATCCAGAGTTGCATTCATTTTTCACCAAGATTTTGCAGTGATGATGGGAGAGTCGGACCATGGTGTAAAGTCATCTCCAGCAGATCCCAAAGATTCTTAATGCGGACAAGGTGGTGGCCAATCCATGTGTGAAAATGATGTCTCATGCTCCCTGAACTACAATCGCAATTTGAGTCTGATGAATCCTGGCATTGTCATCTTGGAATATGCCCGATGTGGCATCAGAAACATACATTGATGGAAAAACCTGGTCATTCAGTATATTCAGGTGGGCAGCTGACCTCATTTTCTGGGGACAAAACGTTGCTAAACCTAGCCCTGACCAACTGAAGCAACCCCAGATCACAACACTGCCCGAAATCCAGGTGGTGAATTTTTTTTTGGCCGGGCAGTGTACAAAAGTAGTATCTTTGGATTGTTCACATACAAAATGGACCGAAAATCACAGCATCCATCCAAATCAAACACCATGTTGCAACAACGTTTGGAAAATAAGCAGACATCGTACCTGTAGTAATTCATGGCCCTCTTCAGGTAAGGGTATTGGAGGACCGAGGTATTCACAGTTGTAATGCTTGCCTCCTTCGGCTTCCCCACATTCCCCGTACCAGACACAGTGCTGGGAAGAAACCTAGTACATAAGAAGAAACTCAGTTCAGAGACAAGTTCAGAGACAGTTACAGAAGGGGCCACATTTTGTTTATTGGTAACAATATTGAAGTCACAGAACCCCAATTATTGTTACAGCATGATGGGGTATAGTATATCCAGTCTTAAGGCAGAACTCCAGGATTTTGAAAAGTTAGCCCTGGCCGTGGAGCTTCCCCCACACTGTAAAGGGTAACTGCTTGTTTTGCCAAGGGTTAACTTTGCAAGATCCTTCTATACCTGGGATGATCATTCATCAAGAAAGGTCACTGTAGGAGAGAGGCAGGGCTTCCTGCAGGATCCCGCTTCCTCTATTTAAAACCTATAATGTGCAAGAGAAGATGTACACCAAGGACAGACACGTAGCAATCTATGTGTGTCATCAGTGACATGAATTAGCTAATCATTCAATAAACATGAACCATGGTGTATAGCTCATCAGTTTCTTCATTGATAAGGTAGTTCTGTATTTGTCTTGCGTAAAAAAATAAAAAAAAAAAACAGAAAAAGAAAAAAAAAGTGCTGCAACAAATTTCTGACAATAAAAAAGGAATTAAATAAATGAATACTTATAGAAAATTAGATGATCAGAGAAGAACCGGTACACTGCCAGGCACAGTGCGAGGAAAAGCACATCATCTGATCAGAGGAAACCTGTACGCAAACAATGATCTGGTCTGATGCTTCTGACCTTTTTTGTAAATGCTAGTTGCCTGGCTGTCATGCAGATTCATTGTTCTGGGTCACTGCCCCAGAAGCAGTATAGACGCCAGAAGTTACAATTTCCCTTTGACCTAAATAGCTGCACACTTGTTCCAAGTCCGACTCAAAATACTGCAGTCAGAACCAGCAAGGCAACTGGCCTTTGTTGTCACACCTGATAAACAGGCACCATCGTCCAAGAAGCAGGCACCTCCAAGTGCCCACAGGCAAACGTTAGGTTTTGTCTTAGGGCTTGTTCACACCAAATGCAGACCAGATTTGCATGAGTTTCTGCACATGCAGTGCATTTTGACGCGTTCTGGGCCTACATTTGATGCAGTTTTGATGCGTTCTGTAACTGCTCTGCACTTGGTGTGAACAAAGAAAAAAAACAAAAAAACATAGAGAGGTCTATGGGGACCAAAACCTTCCAACATTCGCTTGAAAACAGCTCCTGCATCTTTTTGCGCGACACAATGCTGAGGTGTGAACAGTCGCCATTAACTTGCATGTAAAATGTGTGTTTTGTGCAGTTTTGCGTGACTAGATCCACGCATAAAACCGCTCAGGTGTGACCCAGGGCTTAGAGCGCCCTGAAATCCCATGCCTTCAGAGAGCTCTATTTCTATTATGCAAATGTGGACTTCACTTGGAAGTCAGGCTTTGGACCCAAAACTTCCTATCAGCCCATCACCATTAATGATCACTAGAAACATGGTGGGGGGAGAGAAGGGCCAAACATGCCCTTTTAAGAAATTCATTTTTTTTATACATAAAAAAGGGCCTAGTTTAGGGCCCTCAAGACACTCCCAGACAAAGCTGAACCAGTCAAGTACTAGATGACACAGGTACACTTTAAATTAAAACCTATTACAAACATGACAATTTAAAGTGATCATATGTTAAAAAAAAATGCATGGGCAGAGCCTAATTTCAGTAAAAAAATGAATGTCAAAAAGATCAGATCAGTACACCCAATGGTATATGAACAAAAAAAATTGTTTTCAGAAAATTCAAGTTTTCCCCCGCCCCCCTGAGGTCCCTATCAGTCACCTGGATGCCTTTCAAATTCATTGACTGATAGAGGACTCCAGTAAGAAGACTGAATTTAACAGTGGCATACCTAGAAATATTGAGATCTGCATAGAAATGTAGCTGCCTATATAATCAGCAGTTATTGATCGTTTTGACATGTGGTTTTGAGTGAATAAAGATAACCCGATGTTTGTAATTCGTTCATCGCATGTTCACGTCGCATGGTCTAGGCTTCCATCACTGGTTTAGCCTAAACCTCCACAAATGTGGGCAATACAACACATGGGCACATTTGTATAATGACGCAGTGTGCAGGAAATACTGGAGCATGAGCAAATACATAGGTTTATACCTCTGCATGAAGAATATCTAGGTGAAGAACAGGATGAGAATGTTGTACACTTCCCATACACTTAGTAATTTAATTCTGTAATGGCCTAGCTTTAGCTGATAACTGGCCCCTGGCTAGACGCGTTTACAACTTGGTGGACTGTGGTTTTATGCTAAACTTAACAAAATAATTCATGAATGATGCATCTTCATACAAATGTTGGTTTGGGTCCGAATCCGGGTAGAATACAATTAGAGATGTTCCAAATCCTGTGAATACAAATGGTATGCAAACTATGCAAGCCAAATCCAGAACTTCCACTTTGTACTTTGACATGCAGCATTATCTTCATAGGCCATCATGTAATACCTGATAAGAGCAGTGTACTTTTGGACCCAAACAACCCTTCACCAGCAGGATTTCCATGGTCTAACAAACGAATGTAAACATAGCCATGAGGAGATAAAAGAGACAGATGTATGGCCAGCAGCTACTTGCTATACTTAGCCTCCAGTTACGTGTTACTTTTCATTTTCAAAGCTCTTCTAGGAAGAACAGAACTGCGACTGTTTGGATGTGATGGGCAAAAACATGCAATTGTAGTCCATCAAAAAAAGGTGGTGGGAGGGGGCACTGTAAGAGGACATCTAGTGAAATCTGAGGATTTTGCTTGGTCTAAAGCTAGATTCACACCTAGGCAATGGAGCTGGGGATCGGTTTTCACGCATTTTTGTTTGTGTGGCCTTCAATGCTAAGAGATGTCTTTTGGCACCCAAACCGCACGACGACCACCCAAAAAATAGCTCCTGCAACTTTTTGCGGGACAGGCGTTTTCTAACGCGGGACAAATCCCAATAGTGTGATTAGCTTCCATAGACTTGAATGCAAATCTCTGTTTTGTGGGATATTGCTCGGATTTAGCCTAGGTGTGAACTTAGCCTTAAGGACCTATTCTCATATTTTAACATGCAACCTCATTCACTAAGTTATAACCCATGTTTTATTAAACATAAGTTATTTTAGGCCCTCACTGCTTAGAATAACAAATCAATGATAAAAAACAAAGTGTTATAGCTTAGTGAATTAAACCTTATGATGGAACGTGCGGAATACTTGCATGCTTTCTGCAGAAAGGAACAGGACGCCGATTGCTGCAAGCAGATTGTACAGAGAAACTGATATGACCCAGGGAAGGTTAAGGGCTCTCTACACATACACTTCCTCAATCTGGTGGTGGAGCAAGTGAAGTAATGAATACAAAAGTTCACAGATCCGTTCAAGTGACACATGCTTATCAGTTCCAAACTTTGCCATTATGGGCAACAACAATAGCAATAGTAGTTATGTTTGTCATTTGACAAAACACAATAACTCATCATCTGGATAACCAAATGTAAAGTCAAATCTGTCCTACAGCAGACATGGACACATTCCAAGAGCCAGATCACGAATGATGTAAAGACCATTCCAACCTTTGGAACACTCCTGAGGTGCATGTGGGCTTTAGAGATGACCATAGACATGATGGCAAGAAGATCTAAGCTCAGCACAATCATCTGTAAGAATAATCAGTGCATAGGCACACATCCTTATTGGCTGACTGACCTCCATGAAAGCAGTAGAGGAAGGTTATGGGATTACACACGCAAAGCATTCCTACTGAATGTGATTTCTCTAGTATCCATAAGGCTATAAAAGAAGGGGGTTATTTAAGAGCAAATAACACAGCACATGTGACACTCAGGAGACTAGAAGAACTGTGCAAGGCATGTGCTTCCCAGAAATGTGGGTGTCACTAAACTGCATCAACAACAAGGTCACTGTGCTCTATGACTAGGTCAACAGAGATTTAGGGTAGAGGATACTTTAGTTCAGAATTGTGTGGGCTAAAATAGGAAGTGGTGAAGAAACATGCTTATTGTAATATATAAAAAAGACACAAGAAATGTTATACTTATAGAAAAGAATGGGGAAGACTGCAAAGTGAACCTGAATCATGTCAGAGGGTTTTTTTCAGACTCCCAAAGAGTCATCACTTTTCCAACAGAGGAGCCAACAAGTGGAAGAAAAAAAATAAAAGCTCCTAATATATCTTCTGATAAAGCGGAGCGGTGTTTTCAGGATGGTGCACAGTGCTCCCTAAACTTGTATGCCCAGATGAGCAAATAGGCGTCAATGGAGAGGGAAGAGAGGAGGAAGAGGAGGGATGCTGCTGAACTAGATATCTGTTAATACTGACTCCCCTACTTGTAGAAATTAGTGAAGGTGGAACTGGAAGTCCAAGTCGCAGCTTTACAAACTTAGTTGCTGGCCTGTGACCAAAATTCAGCACATAGCTAGCTACTGCCCGCTATATGCTGACAGCACAGAGCCGCACTGCAACCAGGAACAATTCCAACAAGATTGTTTAAATCCACCTCACTGCCTGATTGACAGCTGACTCTGCCTCTCTAAAGCCAGAGCCAGTTGTCTCTGCCCCCTCCCACTTCTGTCCCTCCAATGAGCGTTGGAAAATAGAGAGCGGAAAGGGAAACTCTGCAGGGAGCGGACACTGACCACTTTCTGCATGGAGAAGACCATAAGCCGAAGCCAGGTTCACACCTGGGCGATCCGTGACTGCGAGGCTATCGTGCACGAAACCGAGCAGTCACGGAACGACACACCACCGCTGATTGCACTGGTGGTGCCATTCTGTTCTAATGGCTCCCCAGTCACGCCAGGCAGATTGCACAGTTTCCCACCCACGATTCCGCCCATGCAATCGCACACGATTGTGGCTGAAAAAAACCGTGCGGTGCGTGTGGTGAAAAAAACTGAACATGTACCCTTTTTTCAGCAATTGCCGCGTGGATGTAACCCCATTGAAATCAATGGAGTGGCACGACAACCGCTGTGTGCAACCGCACACGATCACGCGTCCTGGGATCACCCAAGTCTGCGCCAGCCCTGAGTGATCAGTAGTTACATGATCAGTTCTCGATCTATAGACTTGGCATGTGACCGCTGCAGTGTCACATGACTGCTCTAAGCATTGGGAAGAGTACATTTTACTCTCCCAATCCTTCTCCTTTAAACTACAATCGTATAGGCTTACATATTAAAAATTATATTTATCCCCTTTCAACTTTACTTTGTCCGAAGAAAACTCTTGACAATGGGAGCCGATGCCCTGTAAACTGCCTCATCTTGATAACACATCAGTCTCACGACTCTTGAGTGTGCATAAGAGCAGCAACTAATAAAGACTTGTAATGGTTTACATTCCTCTTACCTGTTGGAAAATCTCCAGGCAAAGTGACCTATCCATCGCTTTCCACCTAATTTTAGGTGAAGTCTTACACTGGGAGATAGCTGAATATGCTCATAAAAAGAGTCTTCTGCAATCATGAATTCTGCCATATATCCTGCCACAAAGAGGAGTATTCTGATTTATTCCTGCAAACTGTTGGTGCTATATAAATCCTGAATAATAATAATAATAGTTCGATACTTACTACAGAGTCAGTTTACATTTCCTAAGAGCTTCCCATCTCCATGAGAGCAAGAAAGAAGAACGTGTATGATAAATGCAAATTGACTGGGTGTGGAATGGCTTGTATACTGACACAGGCTGGTACAGTGCGAAGTTATACAGAGCAACGGGCTTGTGTAGTAAAGCAGGTGTATGCTTTCATTATCTGACATGTAATGGTTGAACCAAGGGTGACAACGGTCACTGTAGATGTTATAAAGCATGTGTGCCCAGATGCCAACTGTTCCTTTTTTATAGACAA